GCAACTCAAGCAGCCCAATTCAATCCTGGTGCCCGATCACAGGTTTTCTGGTCACCCGATCTATCGGAATCAAAGACGTCCTTCGTTCTGTTCTCGGACGAGCTCGTGTGCAGGTGTCTTCCGTGAGTTCCCCGATCTCTCATCCAGGCGCTCTTGTGCTATCTTGCGAGCTCTCACGATATCGTGAGAGCTCGCTCGTCCGAGAACACAACGAAGGACGTCTTTGATTCCGATAGATCGAAGCAAAAGAATCCGATTTTTTGCCTGAGTTACAGAAAATTGTAAAATCCGGAGAAATTGAAACTGAGTGAGTGAGACCACCGACTACGCGAACTGCGCTGTCCGTCGAAACGGTGGTGCGGATGAACGCAGCGCGAGCGGGTCGGCGCGCCGAAGGCTTGGATAATCGGAACTCCGATTGAGAGACGCTCGTTCTGGCCCAGTAGCGGGGAGCATCTGGTGATTGGAGAAGCGTCGATTGATTCGTCTCCACCTCTGGTCGACTTCGAGATGAGCCCCTGCTCCTCTCGATTTTTATTGAGTCAAGCGTCTTTCCAAGTCCCAGCTCAAGGCAAGTTATCGGGAATCTGCCTGGATCAGGAGATGTGGTGCCACAGTCTCATCGGGAAGCGCAGCGAAACGGATGTATGGAGGAGCTCCTGCGCATCGAAGTGAACACGGTGCGGGATATCATTTCCTCTTTGCTCCTCACTGATACCAGCGAGGACCTTGATTGTTCTCGGTATCGGTCGTTGTTCCCATGCGATGGACTCTCCTAATTTAAAAAAATTATTGGAATGCTCCACCCTTCGGAAATCAAACATTTGAGAGAATAGAAAGACGGGAGTTCGCGAAAATCCTGGAAGGCTGGACCCGATCGTTAAGAGAGTTCGGCGGTGGATTCTCAGGAGCTTCCAGGGGCTTCTATCATGTTATGGTGTCTTTCATCCATGAATGACGGTCGCTGTAGCCGTTGTAGATCACAGCTCCCGGGGTTTCCATGCCGGTACCTTATGGGGTCCAGAAACGAGGACCGGGGAGGTCAAGGAAACCGGCGAAGCCAAGGAAACAGGGGAAGCCTCGGGGAACCGGGAAATCTAGGGAAATCGGGAGGGGGAACTGGGCAAGCGGGGAACTGGAAGAACGAAGAATGCTGGGGGCATAGAGGCCACGGGGAACATGGGAAAAGGGAGACTGGGGAAGCTGAGGAAACGAGGAACAAAGGGTGAACGCGGAAAGGGGGAGTTGGGAGACGAGGAAATGCGGACACGGGGAACAGGGGAAAACAGAGAATGGGAAAACGGAGTGAGCATGAAAAATCAGGCAAGCGGGAAAACCAGGAAACCGGAGAACACAAACACTGGTCAACGAGGTTCGAAAGTGCGACGCAAGAGATCGGGTAAAAGGGGAACACGGGGAACGGAGTGAGGGTGTAATTGGGTCGGGGGAGAACGTCAGAACGGAACACCGAGAACACGGTGAAGACGGGGAGAAATAAACGGCAGGGCGAACGGGAGATGATTAGCACGAGAGAAGGGAGGATGACGGAGAATCACTGACGGCAAGCCGATCAAGTTGGCATAGCGCACTCGAAGTGAGCACACCCAGAGCAAGCGCATGCTTAGAGAGACCGTCAATCCAGAGCGGCGACCGGGAATGCTTATTATTAATGATGAATGAGCACTCTTGTTCTGAGCTGAGTGATGTTTCCGCGAACAGATTCGAGAGCCAGAGAAGCGTGGATTCTGGAGGCGGATACAGGATTCGATTTTGACTGATTGAAGTGTACGCGATTTCACAGAGGAGTGGCGAGACGGGGAAGTTCCCCCACTGATGGCGTGATGCTTCCCCCGTATTCGGAGCCTCCTCTTTCTGGGCTTTCGCAGCTCCTTAAACTTCGATGAACCCCTTCTCGACAAGCATTTCTCCACGAAGAAATCTCATAACTCATAATCGTAAACCTGAGCATGTGTGTGACTTGCCGATGAATTCGAAGGAGCATCGATCCGAGAAAGATCACAGGAGTTCCTTGGGTAAGCGAAAACACTTCCCTCAAGGTGTCTGAGAACCTTATCCTTGTTCCATCTGATCTTATACGGCTTCCCTAAATCGTAACCAGGCTTCCTGAAAGAGCTCTGTAACCACTGAACACGAGGTATCACAGAGACTGCATCCATGAAACCATGGCTGCATGAAGATAGCTTAGACTGACGGTCTGCTTGAAGTTCTTTATCACTCTCGTCACGTCGAGCAGTCAACCGTGACGAGGGTCGTTTGTGCCAAGATTGAAGCGATACTCAGCCTCCACTCTTCGCTTATTATTCGCTTGCGAGATTCGAGGCGTCGGAGGATCCTTGTTCGGGGAGAACATGCTCCGCATTAGTGATTGAGAACGAATCTGCCTCTGAGGAACACGCAACTTCGAGGCGGCGAATAAGAGCGAGGGATAAATTAATGTCTCAAAGAGCCCAACTTTCCGCGAGCGCTGAATCACAAACCGGCCACTGAAGGGGATTCCGAAACCCGCAGATGGGGGGCATTTCAATTGAAACCTCAGTATATCCAACTTGCGCGACGAGAAAGTCGAGACATCTCCGTGTCTGGGAATATTGTATTGTGTCGCTCGAGGAATGGCATCGTTCACATCGAGTTTCGTAAGATTTAATGGTAGGCGAACGATGTGCTCTCGAGAGAATCGGAGGACCATTCTGACACGCATACGTCCTTTGCCTCAAACATCCGGAGAATGATTCCGCCGTCTCGGTCCTGTTTACCCCACTGGACACGACCAGACCGACAATCCTGTTGAACCATATCAGAACACGAGCCTCAGATTCTCCTATGTGAGACTGCGGACACTACACACTTTCAATGAAATTGCTCCTGTCGGAATGGCGAATCATCAGGATTGAATTACCCAGAGCTCTGCACGGTCCGGAGAGGAGATTGAAAATCCGACATCGAACTGTAGAAGAGCCCGCCCGATTGAGTTGACAAGCCGCCAGAAATAATCTGTAAAATTCCAGGTGTACCTTATCGGATGAAATACCTATCCCGAGACTGAGCTCTCAGCTTGTCTATGAGCGGTCAGAATCCACAATGGAGAGTAATCCGGCTCTATGAACGGAGATCGTCGGGGTTCACGACGGACGTCTCTCGAGAAATCGCCCTCCTCTCGACGCCGACGGTGAGCTTCAACCGCCCTGTCAGAAACGCGAAGAGGATTTACCTCCAGCGCGTTGGTTGGAACGAAACTTTGCTGCGCAAGTCGGTTCTCGGTTCCCGACTAGAACAAGGAACAGGTGAGCTGCCGAGTTAATGTCTCTGCATGTGGAGGAGAGATCTTCTGTCTGGGAATGATCCCGAAGAATCGCGCTCGATGGGATCTCCCGCCTGGGAAAGATCCCAAGGGATCGCTCTCCACGGGGAGAGGAGCCATCTGCTGCGGGAGCCATCCACTCTCCAAAGGGCGGGTTCGCCGGCTGTGAGCCCGCATTTGAACGGCGGGATGAAAAATACAGCATGACCGTGACCTTCCTTGAATCCGAGGATTTCTCAGGCTCGTTCGTCTCTGAGTCAATCCGTTGCGACTCTGTCTGCCCGATTCCCCCCGTCGCAGGCGTACATCTGGAGCAGCGCTTGTCTGACTGAGTCTGCGTTCGGTTTCGAATCCAACTTCTCTTCGAGAGGTCCAGACACAGCGAGCCAAAAATTGGGCTCCCTGAGACGCCGCTAGGAATCCTGAGGAAAAATCCACCGTACCCTGATTGTGAGAAGTGCCGAAAGCCCATGAGTCGAGGGTACAAATACAAAAAGCGCAGGCGGAACACTGCAGATCAGTTTTTGTGGCCGGGACGAAAAGCTTAATGAAAAGGAACGTCTTCTGTCTGCTACAGGCACCAGAGATATGAGGGAGCAATACCGAGATGTCTCTGCGTCCGACGTTGCTCTGGCAACGCACTTTGCTTGACGTATTGAAAGTGAATTTCGCAACTTGCAGGACGAGAGTGGGACCAGGACGGGGAAAACTGAGAGTAGCCGGGAGAATTGCGCGAATATTTCCAGGATCGAAACGCGGACGAGCTCTCCAGCCGGGTGAGGTCTCAATGATGCCCTATCCTTCGAGGAAACGTGTCCTAGCTTGGGAAAGGGGTTCCTTTGCCCAAATCGCTCCGCCTCGTCGGGTTCAGTCGATAACCTCCGAGGCAGATCCGGAGTCGCCTATCGATCATGACTGGATTCAAGGTTCCCGTGGCTGTTTTAGTCCTCGAGCGGAGAACATCCTCGCCTGGATCGCCAGAACGAGTTCGATATGAAGACATCGGAGAAGAAATCATCGTTCCGATCGTTTAATTTTAGGACACAGGTTTGGTATGTCTCGCCGATGTCCTTCCCATATCGAGTAGCCCCATGGGCCCCGAAATGAGCGAATTCCGACTTCAAAATCGAGCAGAGGAATAAGCACGCTGGGTACAATAAAGATTTTACTCGGAGCTGTTTCATAACACGCGGCATCGGAATCCGGGGATCTTCTGGTTTTCAATGACCCATTTGGCGCAGAAATATGCGAGCACGATGACCGCTACCACGTCGGCTAGTCCGTCCGTAATATTCCGGACAGGGTGCTCGGATTCGGCAGAGTTCGGTCTTTCGAGAGCTCCGCGATCCTCTCCTCTCGTGTCAGAGACGGCTGGTAAGACTTCAGTCGGAGACCCATGACTGTCTCCCGCAACGGCACCACACGAATCGAAAAACTCATCTTGATTGCTCTCGTCTGTTGTGGTTATTGGTGGAAGGTTCTCAGCGAGCACTTCTCCAGCCCCGTCTGGGAGTGATTCCACGATCCTCTCTAGGAGCGCCTCTTTACGAGCCAAGATATAGGCGCACTTGTCTCTTAAACCTTCCGGAATATTTCGTTTTGAGCTCCCTGACGATGTACCGCCAAAATTAATGAAGGAGAGAGTAATACCTTCCTGGTCGATTGATTGAAAATCGCTGGTGAACCCGAATGATTTACTCGCTTCTCGAGCCGCCACTTTGGGCTTCGGTGCCGGGGGAATCATCTCGCCTGGAAAGTTCGAAGTCCGAGAGGATTCGAAGAGACGTCGGTTGGCCGCAAAGGTCTCGAGAATCGACACCGCGCTCAGAGGACGAGTTTCCCCTCTTCTGAGGTCGAGGAACTCAACCCACTGCTCAGCCACTCTCATCAGAGAAATGACGTGGAATTTGGAGAGCGGTAGGATTCGAAAGCCGATATCTAACCTGAAACGCCGAAAAACTGGTCCGTTTCGTTGGTGCCGATGATCGTCTCCTGGATCTGCTTCGGGTTGCGCTTCGCCGTGATAGACGCCTTGCCGGGATCCCCGAGAGCTTGGCGAATACGGAGGAGAAACGAATCAGCTGCCCTTGGAACGATTGTGTATTTATGGACCTTCATTGTGAGAGACGTCGGCGCTTACCGGAGAAGAATTTGGTGTTCTGTTCTTCGCATCGGGAGTCAGCCATGTCTCCTGCAAAGAGTTTCGAGACGATGAGCCAATAGCCTCGGGTCTCCTACTCAGCGCGTGGGTCTCAAATATCCGAGATTATCGCTCATACTGATGGGTGGAATTCGCTGGGGGAAATTATCGCCGAAGCCTTTCGGTTCCGAAGAATATTGCGGGAGTTTCCCTGGAGTTATGAATGTTCGGAAATTCTATTTCTAACCATCGAGACGCTAGTTATGTCACTGCTCCAGGCCACTCTATGTCTATGTAAACGTCGATGGACGAAACGGAGAGGCTCATTGTATCAGTGCCCCGTGAGACTCTGCCAGTCGCCACGAAGGTTCAGCCTCATCGGTCAATTAATTGAGTCTCCATGGTAGACCGGAGGCGATACGCAGGATACGCACCGAGATTGCAGCTTAAGCACTTCGTTATCGCAATCCGATCACTAAATAATAGTACCCATCTCGCGGTGTTGGGCTTTATATGGCAGGGCAGTAACTCCAGCGGAATGAATCGAATCTCCGAGACGGATATAACACGATCGTTCCTCAGTGTACTGAAGGCGGAGTGACAAGGTCGGTTCGACTCGCTGGAGTCGACTGAATATCAGCATGCCTCAGAAAACCGTCGACATCCACGGAGAAGGTGACCTTCCGATCAGAATCGCAAATTAGCCGAGGAATTTTTAACTTCCATTTTCGTTCCATGGCTCGTGGTGGAGGAGTACTGCAGCGGACAGCACTAGAGTGAATTTTCATTCAAATGCTTCTGCCAGTGCGCTCTGAAGGTAGATGTGGGAATATATTCCATGCGATTTTGTCGAGATTCGAGACTGCATGTTCGGACGACGGAATGAAAGACAAGTATTTCTCGATCTTCTCAAACGACGCTCCGGTTAACTGTCAGGTATTTCCTAGCCGGAAACCGTGCGACCATGAAACCGACGGATGGTTTCGTAAATCACCAACTGAGTTTAGTTATCGGGCGGGCAAATGATTGATCGATGCGAGATGCGGCCCTGCACGACCAGATCAATGATTCTCATTTGACTTGCTTAATTTCGGCTGACTGCTTGTGACTGATGTAGATATGCTTGGCTGCTTGACACAGGAGCTCCTCAATATGTATGGAGTGCAGGTAGCTAGGGCGGGCTTCGGCGGCGACTTCTTCAGTCAAAAGTTCCAGATATCGCAGGTCCTAAATATTACCTTACTAAGCATGGCACCCGTGAGCATGCATGCTCCTAAGCTATGGAACCTCTTTGAATTTTTTCAGAATGGTCAAACACGTACGCCGCGATTCGAGCTGTCCTCTCTCCGGAGCGATGGCTTCCGAAGCAACAAAGGGGCGGCAGCCGGCAGCTCCGCATGAGTCGGAAACGGTTCAGGGACCTCATGTATGGGGAACGCCTGGACAAAGAGATCCCTGAAGAGGTTCACATGTTTTGAGTTGAGGCGGCAACAGATGTCGAGACTAATGACGACAAAATTTCAGAGACGCACACTCTAAAAAGTCCGAATTTTCAGTCGGAATGGCGGTCTCACGATGTCATTCAATGAACCGTCTGAGTGAGACCAAGCTGATACACGAATTCGAGGCGAGTATCGGCATTTGAGTCCGAAGAGACCCCGAAGCTTCCAATTCAAGCATTCTTTTATAATAATTGGAAAATTATCCTCAATCAGAACTGATAGACCACCTGGACGAAGGCTCCAGAGGTACTGTTGACTGAGAAACCGGAGCTCTCAGCATAAACTCGGATTAGAGCTCGGATTCGCAGACGTCTAGACGGCTGATCAGTGAGATAACACTTGCATCACCTGGAAGCACGATGCGCGGAGCTCTGTCAAAAACGCCGGTGAGTTACTAGAAAAGAAACCAGTTACGAGGAAAGAGTCTCTCGATTCGTAATCGAGGATCAAACAGCGCGGATCTGCTGCGTAGCATCCGGCGATTGCGCCGAAGAGGTTTCGAAAACATCAGGATGGCAGCATGCTACGGAATTGCCGCATTCTGTTTGAAACCGAGCAATGCTCAGTTAGTTATATGTAACAGAAATCGCTGCTCTGTACCGCTGCTGTGGAAGGTGGGCAATTCACTGATTGATGCGAGGTACCTCCGAAAATATTCTCTTCGCAAACCGTAGGGGTGTGTTCGAATTTCAGGTTTCTGAGATGAAAAATAATCGCGGACCGTCTCTTCAAAGGTGACGACTGCATCCAGAAAAATTGCGAACCTCTTGTGCTTGGAATCGGGAAGGACAACGGATCTGTACGTTGTCGTGTACGATGTGATCCATCCTCGAACTTTTTCCTGCAGAGACCGAGATACGCGAGAAGAACAAAGCATCCAGATGGTAGATGTTTCGGGATACATCGTAACACTCTCGTTTTGGGCCGATACGGTTCATCAGCTCGATGGCTGTGAGGAGGAAGTCATTTTCGCAAAAAAATATCTTCATCCAAGAATATGGAGGGAAGAGGATGCATGCTACTGAGAAAACAGAATTTAAAGTAGCGGGCGAGGCCCTCTCTGCAGGAGAACCACACTCTCGAGCCTGGTGTAATAGCGCGGGTGCGGAGACGCAGTATGAGAAATTATTATTTCCTAGCTGGTAGCTCTTCGGTGGCAGAAATTCACAGGATTATTTCTGAAATTTCTTTTGTGGCACAAGGACGGAAAGCCTCCCGCGATCTTCGGAGCCTTCGATTCATTCTGTACGTCGCAACCATATAAGTCGCAGCGCAAAGGGAAAGTCAGTTAGTAGCTGGTTTATGAATACCGTAAATCTTCTATTAGAAGCCCTGTTACTAATAGTAGCCCCTCCCCAATACAAGCCCTCCCTCGGGGAGGTTCGTAAATATAGAAGCCCCTCTCCAATAGAAGCCCATCTCTCTAATAGTAGCCCCTCTTCCGTCCGTGATCGAACGTAACCGCGCTATTCCGGAAGATTTTCCCCTCATCGTGGAGACCCGAGAGAGCACCGACGTCACCCGAGTCGAAAGGTCAATCTGTGCACAACAATTACGGGAGACTCTCGTTCCACACTGTTGTGTGTCTAAACACGCAAACGTCGCTTCTCAGACGGATAACTTCATTTAGTATCTCATGCGGTCACAGTAGCGCTCGGCTCAGGCTCAGGAGAGATGTGCATCTCGAAGAATGGACGAGATTTCTCTCCCATCTCAAAGCATCGGCAGTTCTCCATTACTCGATCGTCAGGGTTCTGCGGTTCGAGTAATTATAGCCCCCCCTCCTATAGAAGCCCCTCTGAGAAGGCACTCGGAAAAAATAGAAGCCCGGGCTTCTAATAGAAGATTGACGGTATATGTGGATGTGAAGATCAGATGATTGCTCTCGGATCATTCCTGCAAATCGGCCAGATACCCGAAGGCGGAGCCGTCGACGGGACTCGACAAACGCGTGTGTGTATTTTCGTAAATAATTGAGCGAGGCAACCGAGGGAAAATGTCTCTGTGCCGCCGAGGTCGGCGATTGTCGTAGAGCGGGGCACCTCCGTCGCGGAAAGGTACGCTGACAGCTGTGCAGATGTCTTGTTTGTGGCCGAGAGAGGGAACTAGACGGAGTTGTTGTGTCTACGCGATGACAAACATCGGGCGAGGCATTGTCCTGTCGCCGATCCTTCCGCCTCGGGCCGCGATACGACCCCTCTCACCAGAAAACCTATAGGTGACTGTCTTAAATCGTAAGTTAGTGTGTATCGGTCGGACCGCATCTGACTCACAATACCAAGGCTTAGTCGGGAGGCTCGGCGGCTGCAGGTTTCAGTGGGGATTGATTCTGCGACCGATCGCGACTGCTTCTTCCAGGCAAGGAGAAAAGCCGTCCCGGGAGAACTCTAGACATGTCTCTCCGCGAGGTGTGCGTAGATCTCGATTATCGCTACTTCGGTAGGACTCTCGGTCAAATCTGTGATGCGCATGTTCGGCTCATCTATTCGCAGCTGGAGAAATCGCATATGAGAAGCATTTCTCCATGAACATGACGCATCTTGCCTCTTCCTTGCGCATGTGAACTCACACAACCGGAGTCACGCAGCACAGGGGAACCGACCGACTCTCGCCGTCCTGTATACGGCGAAAACATTCAATTCTAAGGAAAAACACAGGAGAAATCGAATGATTAGGGAAAATCTCGCCGACGTATACCTATATGATGGAGAAGTGCTTCTTTCATGACTCGGTCCCGACCCAACTGCGACCCACAGGACCGGCAATTTTTTTTCTCATTCTAGCTTTAACACTGTAGTCCGTGCTCTCGGCAATACTTTCCTCGAGTTGGCTGAATGGTTGAGCCAATCAACCTGTCAGGCGACCGGAGGAAAATGTCCTGAAGTCAGAGCATTCTTCAAGCGAGATTCCCTTCATTCTGAATTTTAATACCCATGACTTCTGGCCCGAAAGTTTCCCTGCTTCCGGGCTTCGATACGCGGAACTTCCCCCATTTGAAAAAGGGTCCATGTCCCCCAGGAGGTGGACTCTGCGGTATGCTTCCGAATTTTCAAATAAACGATTCTTCGAGGAGCCATGGATACATTCTGCCAATCGGGGGTGCTCCGCGGCAAATCATGGATTTTTAGGTGTTCCGGAGATTGTGATAGGGATAAACCTCTATGTATAACCCTCCAAGATTCGATGTCTTCAGTGGAGTCGTTCTCACTCAGAGTACATTAGGACATTAGACGCGGCGGATAAAAACGCCGAGCTTTCGAAGGTCCCGCAGAAGTCGGTGAGCGGTGAAGTGCTCCACGGAGTCGTTAGCACTTCTATGCGTTCGCGAAGAGTCATGCGCATCGGGAAGAGGAAACTTTGCAGGGAAAGTTTTTTTGCCGGATGATATCAAGGCGTGATGCTCCTCGCATTCTACTGATTGGTCTGCGTCTGACGGGCCGCGCTCATATTTTATACAAGATATCCTTCGTTGTGAGTCTCAGAACATTCGTCAGAAAGTCTGATTCGAGCTCCGAAGCTACACGGGGCGAGCTGAATTCCAAAG